GACCCCTCCCCAGAATGACAGCACGAGCTGCTCAGCGGACCCCTCCCCAGAATGACAGCACGAGCCGCTCAACAGACCCCTCCCCAGAGACAGCTGTCGCTGAAAAAAAAGTTTTAAAAAACATAATCATTTAAAGTCTCTGCACATTTCCCTAAGGGTATAGAGCAAATTAAGAAAAATTGGCTCAAGAAAATCTACTAAATCTTGTTAAGAAGACCGAGTCTGTGGCACTTCAGCCAAAACCTGCTTCCCTGCCCAGCTCGGCGTGACACAGGCTCTGCTCCAAGTAGGTGTGGGCAAGAAGACGGGGCTCCACTCCCTCTAGCTCCCAGTCCAGGGCTGTGGTGTCTCTCCAGGCTGGGGGAGGTGGGGAGGGCTGCCCGCATTTCTCATTCCCCCAAACTTTGTGCTCTAGAAGCTCCAGTCCAGGTAAAAGCAGCTGAAAGGTTGGGACTCCCTTCCTCCTCCAACTCATAGTGCGCAGGGTCTGTCCAGGTGTGGCAGGCTCGGAACCCTGGGGCCTCACTGCCCTCATCTCTGCTGACTCGTGGGGCAGAGGTTCTACACTGCGAGAGACAAGCTCGGAAGATCTGAAGCTATTCCCCCACCCAGTGCCCTGCATGAGAGGCAGACATGTCACTCCACAAAAAGTGGGCCACTGTCCTTGCCTGCAGCTCCAGAGCAGAACCTCAGGAATTCTTCCCAGGAAAAGAAGCTACCCATTAGGTTAGAGAACTCCAAAGTGCTCCCCATGGGAACCGATTTGAAACAGAGTGGAGAAGTTCAAGCCTAAGGTGGTCTGGGGAAGAACGGAGCCTTTGCAGTAGGGAATGAAGAGGAAGCTGGTGGCTCCATGACAACACCAAGATAACCATATTCCGGCCGGTTTACGGGAGAGAGCCAGGGAAGAGACAGCTAAGAAGAGTCTTCCTGGGGTCAGAACAAATCTCAAAGACTAGCCTCAAAAATACCCCTACAAAGGGGCCTGGAGTTAATCAGATCAAGCTGTAAAGCAGCACGTGCCCCAAGCTATTGTTGGAAACAACAGAGACATAGTCTGGCAATTAGTGGAACCTAGCAGATGGTGTTATACAAACATAAGTAGAGAGCTGGAGAGAGAGGCCATGGAAAGAGACAGCCTGCCCTGCTAAAACCACCGTCATCCCAGGGTGACTGCACATGCCTGAGACTGCCCTCTGGGGAGTGACCTCAGAGGACTCACACCATCACACCACAAGGGAAAAAGACCTTGCTAAATAGTCCAGCCAAGTTACTAAACAAATAAATAAGCAAGCAGGGAGAAGCCAGGGAAGGAGGGAATCTGTATCAAGGGTGGCTACAATGTATCATCTAAGATGACAAGTCTTCAACAAAAAACTATGAGATATACAAAGAAACCAGAAAGTGTGACACATACACGTGGAAAAATCTAGGCAACAGAAACTGCCTGTGAGAAGGCTCAGTTGTCTCCATCACAAAAAAAAAAAAAAAAAAAAAAGACTTCAAAGCAATCATTATAAATATGTTCAAAGAACTAAATGAAACTATCGTTGAAAAAGTAAAGGACTGCATAACGACCCTGTCTCATCAAACACAGAATAGCAATAAAGAGATCACAATTCTAAAAAAAGAACCAAATTAAAATTCTGGAGTTGAAAATATAATAACTGAAATGTTAAAACTCCACTAGAGGGTTCCAAAATAGATCCAAACTGACAGAAGAGTCAGTGAACTTGAAGAGAGATAAAGAAAGATTATGCAATTTGAAGAACAAAGAAAAAAAAGAACGAAGAAAAATCAAGAGTCTCCGAGAAATGTGGAACACCATTAAGCACACCAACCTATTCATAATGGGAATATTAGAAAGAGAGGAGAGAGACAAAGGAACATAAAATGTATTTCAATAAATAATGCTGAAATGTTCCCAAATTTGATGAAGATAATTAATCTAAGAAGCTCAAAAAACACCAAAACGTGGGCCAGGCATGGTGGCTCACGCCTGTAATCCCAGCCCTTTGGGAGGCTGAAGTGGGTGGACTGCTTGTGCCCAAAAGTTCAGGATCAGCCTGGACAACATGGAGAAACTCTGTCTCTACACAAATACAAAAATTAGCCAGGCATGGTGACATGTAACTGTGGTCCCAGCTACTCAAGAGGGTGAGGTGGAAGCATCGCTTGAGGCTGGGAGGCGGAGGCTGCAGTGAGCCGAGATGGTGCCACTGCACTCCAGCCTGGGTGACTGAAACCCTGTCACAAAAAGAAAAAAAAAAAAGGTAAACACAATAAGATATACACCCAGTCACATCAGAGTTAAAGTGCTGAAAGACAAATACGAAGAGAAAGTCTTGAAAGAATCAACAGAAGAACAATTCTTCAAATACAAGGGGCCCCAGTGAGATGGAGCCTTGACTTATGATGAGAGACAGCAGAGCCAGAAGGCAGTGAGATGACGTAATCAAAGAACAAAAGGCAGAAAAGAATCTTGTATCTGGAAAAACTACTTTTTAAAAATGAAGATGAAATAAAGGCATTTCCAGATAAACAACAACTAAATCTGTTGCTAGCAGACATGCCTTACAAGAAATAACAGAGAAAGTTCTCCAGGCTGAAAGCAAATGACCCCAAAAAGTAATCTTAACACACACAGAAACATATACACACACAGCAAGCAACACCACCAGATGGAAACTCAAATTCACAGGAAAAAAATACAGAGAACCAGAAATAGGAAGTAAGAAGGTTAATATAACTCTATAAATCTGCACTTGCTCTCCTTTCATCCCAGCTTCTTTAAAAGATACAAGATTAAAGCAATAGTTATAAAAATGTATTATTGAATTGTGCCTTATATAGATGTAATATGTATAACAATAATCACAGAACAAAAGGAAGAGAGAATATGTCTATATAAAAATAATGTTTATATCTTGTGATTTAGTATAAATTTGGAATAGATTCTAATATGCTAAGATGTATATAGTAAGCATTAGGTCAATCGCTAGGAAAATAACCAAAGAAAGTGAAAAAATAATTAAGAGAATTAAAGTGTTACACTAGGAAATATTCACTTAATTCAAAAGAAAGAAGTAAAGGAAGAATAAACAAAACAGACAGTAAGCACATAGAAAACCAAGAGAAAAATTGTTGATGTGAATTCACCATATATATCATAATATTACATGTGAAAGGATTAAATGACCCAGCCAAAAGGCAGAAATTGACAGACAATTTTTAAAAATCCAATTGTACTCTGTTTACAGGAGATATGCCTTAGGTTCAAAGATACAAATAAGTAGAAAGTAAAAGGATGGAAAATATCTATACTCTGCAAACAGCAACTGCAAGAAAGCTGGAGTGGCTCTACTAATCATATGGGACAAACAGACTTTAAAACAAAACATAAGGAGATGAAGAGATGTTTTATCAAGGTAAAAGGGTTGATTCATCAGAAAGATGTAAGTATAAACATATGTGTACCTAAAAACAGAACCCCAAGCGACAGGAAACAACATCAACAAATTGAAGGGAGAAATAGACAACACAACAAATGGTGACTTCAATACTTCAGTAATGGACAGAACAACTAGAAAAAAGATCAGTGAGGAAATAGAAGACTTGAACAACACTATAAACCAACTTAGGCCTAACAGGTATCTGGAGACTGCTCCATCCAACAGGAGAATACACATTCTTCTCAAGGGCATATGGACCACTTTCCAGGACAGATACTTACTAAGACATAAAACAAACCTTAATACAGTTAAAAGGACTGAAATCATACAAAATATGCTGTCTTTCCACAATGAAATAAAATCAGACATCAATAATAGAAAAAAGTGAGAAACTCACGAATATGTGCAAATTAAACAACACAATAATCAATGGGTCAAATAAAAATTAAATAAATTTGAAAATATTTTGAGATGAATTTAAAATGAAGGCACAAATGAAACATACAGGATGCAGTTAAAGCAGTGAGAAGAAGGAAATATATCCCTATACATGCCTGTATTAAAAAAGAAAATCTCAACTCAGTAACCTCCACTTTCACTTCGACACACTGGAAAACAAGAAGAAACTAAAGCTAAAATAAGCAGAAGAAAGGAAAGAATGAAGATTAAAGCAGAAATTAAAGAAACAGATAATAGAAAAACAAAAAAGAAAATCAAACCAAAAGTTGGTTCTTTGAAAAGATCACCAAAATTGATAAATCAAGTCAGGAAGGCTGGAAACGTTTCCAAGTGATGTGGAATTTTTGCCTTTGATTAGCCAGTGGATTCTCCTTCCTAGCTGGGTCTCTAGGCGGCACCAAGAAGCATAATATGAAGATGAAAGCACATCTGACTTTCCCTATCCCATCCTATCAAACCCCATTTCCACCTCCCCCCATCCCCACCTGCCCCTTCTGTCCCCACTTCCACCTGTCTCATCCTGTCCTGCCTACCCCATCCCCACCTATCTCTTCCTCTCCCTCCTGCCCTGCCATCCCACCTGCCCTGCCCCACCTACCCCATCCCATCCCATAGTAGTAACGGTGCTTGCTGTCCTCCGACCCAAAGACCTTGATCACCATGCTGTAGAGGTGCAGCCCCTCCACCAGCATCCATGCGAAGGCACTCAGGAAGAAGTAGTGTAGGAGCACGGCCATCACCCGGCAGGGGGTCTAGGATTTAACCAGAGATGGGAGGTGAGACAGCCCAGGGTGGGCCCTGGACGTGGCTATGGTCCCAGTCTCCCAGTATCCGTGGCCTGGGGGTCTTTTGGTCATGTGACCACATTTCTTCCCAGGGTATCTTCCTGTTGCTCAAGCCCAGGGATTTGGGTGCAGCACGTGAGGCGTGGCTAGCCAATCACAGTACCATGTTGTCCCCAGGGATGGTGATTGTTTCAGGAGAGGGCACAGGACTCAGGCCCAACCAATCAGCAAAACTATCCATTCCTTGCAACAGGATTGGCTCAGGGATAGGCACATGACTCACCTGGTCCAATCAGGGTGGATACTGGGGCTAAGGCGGGGACTATGGAAGAGTTTCCCTCCCAAGTGAGGGCTGGAGCAGGGAACTTTGGAAGCCACGTGGCTCCCAGAGAGGTGTGGAGCCTGCCGCCTGCCATGTGGCTGAACCCTAGATGCTGAGACTTCTAGTTCTAATTAAATTGACTGCAGCTTCCAAGTTGTAGTTAGAACTGAAAGGGGCTCAGGCAACCATGTTGCTCCACAGGCTTCCCCTCAATAGGGCTCAGGGACAGACAGGTAGGGCCTTGGGAACCTCTCCATTCCTCCCCTGTAGCCTGGAGGCCCCAGGTGCCCAGGATGGAGAGAGACAGGCCCTGAACTGTGCAGCCTCAGATCCTCCTGGGGCTCCACCCCTCTGCTCCCTGTGAGTCCAGGTGCTGGGAAGAGCCAGGGCTTGTCCCTTAGCTCTAGATAAAAGTCCAGGGAACCAGAGCCCAGGAAGGAACACAAACCAAGGACCCCAGGACAACCCAGCTCTGCTGGTGCTCCAAGTTGTGTCCTTCAGATGTGCCCAAGTCAGTTAGTTCTCAGAGACGGAATGTATGAGCCACTAAATGTGCTTCTTGTCATCATGATCTGTTATATAGAGATAAAAAATAAGACACACCTATTATTTTTGTTGGCTCAGCGACCCCTGGCCCTGTGTCTTCCAGGACCAGCTACCCCTTTCCCTTGGGGAGCAGCCCCTCCCCACCCGAGAGGCTCGGGTGGGACCAACCACTACAATCATCCTCTCCCATCTGGCACAAAGGTTTACCCTGTAGGCACACCCCTCAAACAGGACCAATCGGAGCCCTTCCCTGGGATTCAGACACAGGTCTCTGGGAGAGTGGGACCAATCGGAGCTCTTCCCTGGGATTCAGACACAGGTCTCTGGGAGAGCGGGACCAATCGGAGCCCTTCCCTGGGATTTAGACACAGGTCTCTGGGAGAGCAGGACCAATCAGGGCCCTTCCCTAGGATTCAGAGACAGGTCTCTGGGAGAGGGGGACCAATCAGAGCCCTTCCCTGGGATTCAGAGACAGGTCTCTGGGAGAGGACCAATCAGAGCCCTTCCCTGGGATTCAGAGACAGGTCTCTGGGAGAGAGGGACCAATCAGAGCCCTTCCCTGGGATTCAGACATAGGGTTCTGGAGGAAAGATGCTCTCCCAGTCCCCTAGGGCCACCAGCTGGGGTTATGGACACCCAGATATGCTGCAGACCTGCCTCCCCTCCTGCTGCCAGCACACAGTGGGACCTCGCTCCCCAGCGTGGACTTGGACAGGCAGCGTCAGCATCACCTGAATGATTGATAGAAATACAGTATTCTGGGCCACACCCACAGCTCCTGAACCAAAATCTGCACTGTAAGGAATCCTCGCATGATGGTTCACACCGGAGCCTGAGAAGCATCCGGCAGGAGAGCTTGAGGCCATTGCACACCCTGTCCATTTCACGGTGCATCCAGGAACTTCACGGATGCTCCCGAGTCCAAGGGGGGGTGCCCTGTGAGGGAGGTGCCTGCTGCCACAGGAAGGCGGGTCTGTCCATAGGCAGCAGCCCCAGGACATGCATGGGGACAAAGGGCTCCGCTGGGCAGTGAGGAGGAGAGGCTCTGCTGATCCGCTAGGCATGGGGTAAAGCGTTCATCTTCTGTTGGCCAATCCTGATTGCACCCTAAGACCACGGGCTTATCCTGCTGGGTTCCTAAGAGCTTCTGCCAGCTCCCTTTTTCCTCCCACACATGGAGCAGGCAGCCCTCTGTTTCTCTCTTCCATCAACTGGTTTACAGGCCCACGTCACTGCGCTGCTGGGTCACTTCAGAGTCTCAGCTCTTTGACTTCTGTGAGGTCTAAGACTTCCTAGGGCCCCAGAGAACTCCCAACTCCATGCAAAGAGCAGGGAAAGGTGGCATCTAGGTCTGCAGGTCTGCTTCGCTGAGCAGAGGTGGCACAACTGCTTGCTGTCAAGCACCTGATGAGGCGCACAGCCTGCAGCTGGCAAGAGTCCTGGTCTGCCCACACCAGGCCGGCAGCTTGGCCAAGGCCTGTAAGCCCTGGGCCCCAGTTCCTTTATCTGTGGGCTGGGAGGATGACAGGTGCTTGGAGGGTGAGATGGCTTTGCAGATGCAAGCCCTTGACACCGTGCCTGGCGCGTAGCTGATGCTAGGCAGTGTGAGTGGGTGGCGGCAGCGGCAGCTTTACCGGAGGCTGGCGTGCAGCAGAGGAACCAGCTGGTGCACGTCACGGTCTCTGCTTCCCCCGAAAAACCACAGCCCTGGTTGTCTGGTGAGATAGGGTCTGAAATTTGAGTGGAAAAAGCTAGCAGGAGAAGGTGCCACCCAGTGACATCCGAGGAGGCAGGGGAAGGACAGCGCAGGAACAAGGAGCTGCGCCCACTCACCGTGCCCGGCTCAAGGTGGAAGCTAATGAGCAGCAGGACCTGGGCCACCAGCACAGCGAAGGACAGGTTGGCGTGGATGTGGTAGCGCTGGTTCCGGATGGTGCTCACGGAGCTGAGGACAGAAGCAGGGTGTGAGGCCCGGGCCCTGCGCCGACCCAGTCCCCCAGGCTCAGCTCCATGGCCCACAGAGTCCCTGTATCCATTTCTCCAAGAGCAGCCAGAAGGGCTGCTGTCACTCCCTGCTGTGGACCCTCAATGGCTCCCTATTGCTCTTGGATCTGATCCCAGCTCCTTGCATGCCCACCCAGCCCTACACAGTCTGACCCTGGGCCGTGGCTCTGCCCTGACTTAGTTCTTTTCTTTCCCAACTCATGTTCCTGCTTCTCAAAGTCCCAGCTTATTCCAGCTTTGCATAGCTGTTCCCATGCGGTAAACCCTCTCCCCGGTCCCTGCATGGCGGCCCGAATGTCCCCCTCAGCATCAGCTTCCTGACCAGTGCTGGGACCCAGCTGCAGCCCTCCCTCTCTGCCCTGCTGCCTCGTGGCGTGATCACCGTGAAGATGTTTGTTCTCGCTTTTGTTTACTTGGTTATCGTCCAGCCCCCATTCAAGCATGTTCTCATCTCTCTTGGGTCCAGTCAGGCCCTCGGAGCCAACCACACGCCTGTGCTGAGGAACGTGGGAGCCAGAATGAATGTCTGAACTGAGGGGGGCTGAGGTGTCCCCCGGCCCGTGGCCATCTCCTTTTGCCTGGCTTGGGTTCCACCAGAATTCCTGTGCCTGGGCTGGGGGCCTTTCCAGACCTTTCCAGCTTAGCTAAGCCTGGTGCCCTTACCGCCACAGCCCCTCCCCTCTCCCGTCTCATCCATCTTGAGATCTGGGGTGCAGGCAGGGGCTGAGGGGCTGTTGGGTGGATTAGAAAAGGGGACTCACGACAGCACGGCGAAGGTGACCAGCGTGGCCACCAGGCAGAGCACGGAGAGGGAGCAGCCCACATAGCTGATAGACGACAGCGCCACCTGGTGTCCGCGTGCAAGCTGCGGGGAGCAGAGCAGAGGCGTCAGCAGCTGGCCCAGCCACCCCATCGGAGCCCGAAGCTACAGAGGGCCCAGGCAGGTGCACAGCTGGTCCCGTGTGAGTGTGGTGCTGACCACCAAGCCCTGCCTCCCAGCCCAAATGTCTGTTGCTGCCACCTACAGAGGCTGATGCTGGGGTTGCAGCCCTGGTTCTGTGCGTGCATGTCCAGTGCCCCGAGGTACCCTACAGATCACTCAGGCTCCCTCAGCCACAGTCTGCAGACTGCGGCTGACGGGCTTGGCCAGGCGCTGAGTGTCCAGTCTACTCTGCAATACACAGGGCTGCAGACGAAGAGTCAGCCTCGGAGCCAGACCTCCCAGGTTCAAGTCCCAGCTGGGCCATGTCCTGGCTGACAATCTGGGACATGTGACACTCAGCTATGAAATGAAAATAATGCCCGCTCTCCATTCCCAGTGGCCACAAGGACTCCATGAATTTACAAACACAAAGTGCTGCAGCAGCTAGGGAAGAGCCGGTTACCGCCCCGGCCCGAGGCCGCGACCCTCCCAGTGCCCGCACAATGGCTGCCGCCTGCACACTGTGGGCCTCAGGAAAGCTCTCTAAATGGACACGGTGGTGGTCTCCAGCACCCATGTCTGCGGGGTCCCAACACCTTGAGGGAATGAGGCAGAGCAGAGCACACCTGGGGATTAAGCGGCTGCAGAGCCACAAAGGATCGAACCAAAGCCGCTGTTCACCAACTGCACAATTCAGACGGCGCTCCCTCGGTTCCCAAGTCAGGGCCTCAAGCTCAGACACATGTGACCCTGGGCTCCAAGAGGCTCCGGGCTCCTAAGCCACAGGCCTGGAAGGGCAGCCTCCCAGCTGCTCACATGCAGGAGGGCGCCACGTGCTTCCTCCTGTGGTCTGTGGCTCTTGTCAGAGACCCAGCTGAAGCCTGAAGCCTGTATCACGCTGTCCCCGTCGGGCACAGAGACCCCAGTCCCCAGACCCGGGTCCCCCATCCTCCGAGACCCCTGCTTCCAGCTTCCTCCCATGGCATGGGAGTAGGGGGAGTCTAAATGCCTTCTCCCCTGATCACCAGGACAAAGGAACAAAAGGAGGCCACTCTGAGTGCATAAGGAGCTGTTGGCAATGACAGAGGAGACACTGCAGGCCCAGGGGACCCCAGCTCAAGGTGAGGCAGGCAGTGTCCCGGACCTCAGGGAGCAACCTGGGGCCAGGGGGCCATGGGAAGCCCGAACGCTCAGCAAGCACTGCCTTCGACTGTGACTGACAGGGAGTGGGCTCACGCCCGAGGGGCTGCAGACGTGCTAGATTCCTGGATGCGTGGGGCTGGGGTAGGGGCAACCTGGACCCCGCAGCCTGGGCCTCCCCTTTTAGCAAGAGCTCACTTTCACCCTGCAGGCCCTGGTATCCTCTCTGGGGTCCAGTGCTTGCGGGAGACAGGGCCTTGGCCGGGCCCCTATCAGGAGTGAAGCAACTGTTGCCATGACACCAGCAGCATTTCCCCTGGAGGGGCTCTTTTGTGCTCTCGGGCTCAGGGACAAGGCAGAGAGGCTGAGGGCTGGGCGGAGCCACCTGTGCCGAACGCCGGCTCAGGCCTCAGCAGGCAAGGACCTGGGCACAAGTTCCGATTTCCCTGGGGCTGGACTTCCCTCTCCACAGACGTCGTGGCTATAATGGGAAAGGTGGGCACTGCGTGGCCAGGACCAGGGAGATGGAAGAATCCCCCTTCCAGGTTCATGACGCCCCAGGGAGAGAAGAGGAGCAGTCACAGGGGAGACCATCAGTGTCCCTGAGGGTGAGAGGGGACTTTGAAGAAACGGGGCGCCCTGTCCCCTCAGGAGAATGGCTGCGATTTCTTGTTCTTGTCTCTGGTTATTGCAGAATCATCCAGTTAGGGGTGGGAGAGCCCCACTATTCCTTCTCCCATGGATAAACCTTTTTCCTTCAACTCCTGGGCCTGGCCTCCCATATTTGAGAAGACCTTCAGGCTGCTGACCTCTGCCTCCTGGGAATCACAGCCACGCCCGTGGGCTTCCCTGCAGCAGGTACCACGATGCTCCCTGGGTGTGCGCCTCCATCTCAGCTTCCCCTGACCCTTGTGGGCTCTCCTGCACTGGGCTGGAGGAACTCAAGGTGGAGACTTCGGTGAACTCACACCGACTCTGCCCAGAGCCCACTCCCTATCCCTGCCTGGCAACAGCCAGTGCCCCTGGGACACTGTGGGTGAACAGGGGCCGCCCGGAGGCCCGAGGCTGCCCAGTGCTGCCCATCTCTGCGCCACCAGGTGGGAGCTGAGGTCACAGGCGTCTTCTGCCGGCAGAAGGGGCCTTGTGGGAGGGGAAGGCACTCCTCAGTCACCTGCCGAGTATGTTTGGCAAAACGAGTTCCTCAATAGGCGACGCTGCCAGTGCCTTCCCGGCGCAGCATTCTCGGCAATGGAAACAAACATCTCCATCTGCAGATGGACGGGCCAAGAGCTACTCCCATTAACCGCATAGCCGCAGTATTCCCCATTAACCGCATAGCCGCAGTATTCCCCATTAACCGCATAGCCGCAGTATTCCCCATTAACCGCATAGCCGCAGTGGGTGAAGGGAACTAAATTCCTAGGCCACATTCCCCATGCCCCGTGTGTGACACTCCAGTTTCTGCATGACATTGTTAGCGAATCCCATGAAATGATGTTTCTGGTTTCAGATAAATTTGGAAAACACTCCATTCTCTGCACCCCTTAGAAGACTTTTTAGATGAATATAAAGCCACTTAAGGGTTCTGAGGATTCTGCAGGTAAAAAACAAAAACAAAAACAAAAAAACACCTGTTTAGCTATGTTTAACTTGGCATTTCTTAAACTCTTTGGAGGAGGAAGGGAAAAGACCCAGTGACAAAAACAGAGATGTGGTTTAAGAAGTGCTGTTTTAGAGGAAGTGAGATTTTGCAGGAACTAAGAATAAAACCAAATAAACTAAGAATAAAACCAAACACAGGACACACTGACATTGTACTGGATATGCAATCTTTCTTTGCTGTCTCCTAAGGCAACAGAAAAGTCTTGTCCCTCACACTGATCTCTGCCTAGAGATGGAAGGAAGGGTCAGTTACAAAAGTTTTAGGCCTCAGCAGAGGAAGTGGTTCTTGGAAACGAACATCCACCTCTGCAGCAGTCACCAAACTGAATTCAGTTAAAAACCACTGGAGGACACGCGCAGTGGCTCATGCCTGTAATCCCAGCACTTTGGGAGGCCGAGGCAGGC